ACTTAGTCACTTCTTATTTTGTGTGTTTGGTGAGAACACTTAAGATCAATTCTAAGCACCTTTCAAGTATATAGCACCAGAATATTAACCATTGTCTCCATGCTGTTTATTAGTCTCGGAACTTGTTCTCATAGATGAAAATTTGTACCCTTTGACCTATATCACCCCATAGCTTACTCCCCAGCCCTTGTTTGTATGAAATTACATTTTCTAAAGATAACCTCATAAGTGATACTACACAGTATTTTTCTTTCTCTGGGTTATAAAATTATCATGTTGTATACTTTAAAAATACATAATTTAAATATTCCCCCCAAAAGAGAAATCAAAGAAATCAAATAAGAGTCATTTCAATGAACAATGAAATAAATTGAAAAAAAGTAACACAGAATGGCTTTAAAAGGAAAATTATAACATTTTCTTAAAAGATAAATTACAAGCAAAAATAAATTAGGTTTCTAATTAAGGTCACTAAAATATAAACTCTGAAGGTAATGAAATTGAACCTGAAAATAAAATTGTTATCTATCAAAAAAATTTTTATTTACATGAGAAGGAAAATACGCTTTTCTACAAAGAATCTATAGATTATTTGAAAATCTAATAAAAGCTGTCATTGCAGAAAGTGTTAAGAACTTATAAGACAAGGGATGACATAGAAGAAGGAAAAACATTAGGGAGAGGTGACAACTCATAACCAGGTCACCTCCTATGAGTGTTCTGTAAAATGTTTAACCAAGAGCCAGCCGTTTTTGTCTCATTTCCCATAGCTACCTCTTGGTCTGGGTAGTGAGAGTTACCTTGAGATAGCAAATACTCTTCTGACTACTTGTCAACTTAATTTGTTTCCTCCTTGTTTAAAATGAGAGTGGGCAATTTTGTTCCACTGTTTCACTCCCATAGGCCTGTCCTGCTGTTCTTGCAAGATAAGCAGAAATAAAATAGGATCACCACCACCACCAGCACCACCACAGCTTCAGGTAGACTGCAAATATGGTGTCCACAGCTTGAGTTCTATGAGAAAACCTCTGTAGGCCTCTGGATGTGTGCCCAACCAGAAGTCTTCCCCTGAGCTACAGCACTACAAAAAGCAAATTGACCTTTTTCTCAGAAAAACTAGGAGTGTTTTTCAGTAAACTGTCTGTACAATGCCCTGGGGGGTAACAGCAGCCAAGAATTCTGTCTCTGATGTTGCCGTCCCTTGTGACCTAGTAACATGGCCCTGCTGGCCACCAGAGCCAGATAATCAAAGAGTGTCCCTGGGTAGCAGTTATGAAAACCAGGGCACCAGAAGCATGTAAAAAGTTCACTCAGGAGATGCTGGTGGTCTGGAACATGGTCACTGGAGAGCACTAAGATGGGAATGCTACAGTAGGCCCTTAAATGAGTGTTTAATTAGAAGCCTGACCCTCAGGCCACAGCTGTGAAGTGAAGCTAACAGTCCTTCTTTGCAGACAGGTCTGGGCACCTCCAGCTATTTCTTCGTGTGGTGCCCTGTAGGGTGTAGTCAGTTGAGAACTTCTCCCCAGTCAGGTGGGGCCCAGGAAGGTAGACCCATGGACCACCAAGTCCAGACAACTTGAGGATCCTCTAGGTGACAGCCACCAAAGCCAGGTGTCTGAGGAGTGTCCATCTCCTTCTAGAAGATATCAGTGAACTGGATTGGGGCAAAGGGAGAGCACAAAGATGGGGCTCATAGGACTCGACTCCTGAGTAGTATGTCAGTAGGTTGCTGGCTTTCTTCAAATTAGATGACTGCCCCTTAGGCAGATTCTTTCATATAAGTAAATTTGTCCCACAATGACTGAAGCCCTTTTAGCTACCTCTGTGCTGGGCTCTGGGTTGGGCAAATCCATATGTGATTCTCCTGAGAATTGTTTCTCTTTGACTAGTAGCCCTGTGAGTCTTGTTAGTGCAAACAGTGTTGACTGTCCAAGCTAGGTGTTTAGGGGGCTCACCTCTCAGGTACATGTCTTAAAAGTTGAGATGTATAATAAGGGGCTCAAACTCTTTGCTCCTCAGGGAGAAACTCAGGGTGTTGAGCCACACCTTGGAATTCTGGTGGTTGTGAGTCACACTGCCAGTGTTGGGGTTTATGGGGGAAGTGTGTCTCAGACTCATACCTGCTTAAGTATGGGTTTGTGGGGGTTTTGTTGTTTCCCCAGTTTGTAGTAGTTGCTCAGCTAGATTTAGAGGTTTCTTTTCAGAGGAAATTGTTTTATATTATAGATTCTTTTTACTGTAGATTCTCTGTAACCATGGGAGGAAATACGTTTTAGGATTTCTATATTGCCATCTTGAAGTGGAACCTCAGTTTCTTCTATTATTGACATCTTAATGTGTTGTGTTCAGTTGTTACAATTGAACCCATACTGAATGGCATTAAGCAAAGGCCACAGTTTGCATTAGAGTTCAGTCTTCATGTTGAACAGTTTTTACGGCTGTTGTGCAGTGGGTAATGACACATAACCATGGTTACAGATTCATACTGAAAATTCTCAATGCCCTACAAAAACCTTCCCCTGTCATCCCTGAGCCCCTGGTAACCACTGGTAATTTTATTGTCTCTATAGTTTGCCTTTTCCAGAATGTCATATAGTTGGAATCTTCCAATAATAGTCTTTTCATACTGACTTCCTGATACAGTTATTTGAGAGAAAGTTTAGCAGTGATAGTAAAGTTGAACACACTCATACCTACCATCCAGTAATTCTTCTGAGGTGTAATTTATGGAATATCTTCTTCTAGATTATGTATAAGAATATTGTAACAACATTGTCTATAATAGTAAAATGCTAAAAGCAAACAAAATATCATTAAAAACAGAACAGATAAGTGTGTTACAGCTCATGATGGAATTTTTTGCAATATGGATGTGTGGGTCCTACCGTGAATCAGACAGACTCCATGAAGTCTCTGACTGCCCTCTAGAGACTTCTGGGTGGGTTGCTGAATTAGCCTGACACAGCAATTCCCCCTTTTCTCTGGATCAGCAACTATGAAAAAAATTAGGCCACCTGCTGATTGTTACAAATGACTCCACACTGCAGCCTTCTGTCTAAAGCCAACCAATCATAAAGACAAATGAACTTAATAATTAATCAAAAGATTTCAAAACCAGTGGCCAAAGCTGAGACCATTTCCCCGTTTGACACTTCAAAAATTCCCACTCCCTGCCGCTGGTGACACACACCCTGGGAGTGCCCTTGGTTGTCGACCTGATCTTCATCCCTATTCTCAAATAAAACCTTTACTGGTTATGTTATGGATTATTTCTCAGTTGACAAATGAGCTTCCCAAGCTCATTATTTATTTTTAAAGAATATCAGCCCCTTGTCAGACCTGTGGTGTGCAAAATTATTCTCCATTGGATAGGATGGCTCTCATTTTTTTAGTGCTTTTTTTCCTTAATTTGCTGTTAATTTTTGGACAATATAAGATCTTTCCCAGCGGGTGTGGTCACTGTAGTTCTCGCACCACCAGAGCACCTATAGTTCACGTAATTCCTCCACATAATTCCTCATAAGCACACTATTTGATAGCAAAGGTAAAATATAAAAGAAACAGTATAGTATTATTAATTTATATGTAGTCTGGAATAGGTGAAATTGAAGGCTTGATGTATGTGTTAAAACTTAAAAGAAAAAAGAAGTTGAAAATATTAAAAACACTGGGTAATTTTGAGAGAATAAGATACAATTGAGGGAGAGACATAAGAGGCATAATAATCTTGCTAATTTTCTACTAGTAAATCCCAGAGACTGTTAAGTATTTCTTTTCATATTTAAAGTGTGATCATGTCATACACATACACATGTAATTTATATATAAACACATATATACACACAGTATACTATGTATATGTTAAATATACCTATTTGCTGTTTCAATATTTTTGAAAGTTTCAATAAAAAGGTCTAGGAAAGTGGATAAAAATATTAAGTTTGAAAAATATTGAAATGATTTGGATATTGAAGTCTAAGGATTTGACCTCACACTGGCTAAGAAATTACAAAGGTGTACAGTGTGATCATTTGATGTAAATATGTATTGTGAAATGAACCCAAAGATCAAGTTAAATAACACATCTATTGCATCATGTAGTGACCCTTCTTTTGTGTGTCTAGTGAGGAGTCTTAAACTTGCTCTCAGCTACTTTTTGTACCCAATACCATTTTTGTCTTCATCTGTACTTAGAGCCTCAGACCTTATTATAACTGAAAATATGTTCTCTTTGACATACATCATTCCAGCTCTTTATCTCCCTTCCCAATATCTTGAAGACACCTTTATCTGTTTCTATGAATTGGTCATCATTTTTTTAAGATATTATATATATATATGATATATGTATTTCTCATTCTTTGTCTGGCTTATCAACTCATCCTGTTGTATACTCTAAATATACACAAGTATATTTGTCTTAGTGGTCACAGAAAAAATCAGAAGTTTCAATTAGAGCTTAAAATAAATTGATGAAAAATATAACACAAATATGCTTTAAAAATAAATGTAGTATTTTCTAAATAGAAATCATAAATGAAAGCAAAACAATTTTTTCATTAAGGCCACTAAGAATATAAATCCTAAGCATAGTATGAAATGACATACAAAAATAAAATCAGGAATCTAACAGAAGAAGTATTTTTTCTATCCTGAGAAGGCAAAAAATGTTCTCCTATGGTAAGACTACAAACTATACTAAAAAAGAAACAGTTAAAGCTGTGGTTATATAAAAATAATAAAGGAGTCTAGAACAAAGGATATAATTGAAAGTGATTTGGAGGAAGGGTAGGAAAGGTTAATTGCACAAGGAATCTCCGATGACTCCATCATGAACCACACATGTAAAAAGAGAAGAATGCTATGTCCAAACAGAAACAGAGGCTGAAAAGAGTGTCATGTCAAGATTCACTGCAAGACAGTGCCTCAAAGAGGAAATGAAGGTCACAGAGCGAGTCCAGGGTAGCAAGTCCCACAGATGAGTGGGGGAACAGAGCTCATCGTGGTAAAAATATTCTACTGACTGTATTTCCAAGAGCTCCTTTCATGTCCTTATTCCTCAGACAGTAGATGAAAGGATTTAGCATGGGTGTGACCAGAGAGTACATTACAGAGACAATGACATTATTGTCATTGGAATTACTGGATGAAGGGAAAAAGTAGAGTGCAATGATTGTCCCATAGTACAGAGACACCACAGACAGGTGGGAGCCACATGTGGACAAGGCTTTGCAGATCCCCTTGGTAGAGGGGACCCTCAGGATGGTGGCCCCAATGCGGACATAGGAGACCAGAATGCAGATGAACGGCAGGGTGATGCTCACCACCCCTTCAGTGAAGATGACCATCTCGTTGACTGTGGTGTCTGAGCTGGACAGCTTGAGTAAAGCAGAGAGGTCACAGAAGAAATGGGGGATAATGTTGTCTCCACAGAAGGAAAGACGGGCCAGGAGGAGGGTGTGCAAAAGGGCACTGGCATAAGATAGGACCCAAGACACAATTACTAGCAAGGCACACAGGCTCTGACTCATGATGGTGATGTAGTGGAGGGGGTGGCAGATGGCCACGTACCTGTCATAGGCCATAGAGGTGAGAAGAAGGCTGTCCAGACACCCAAGTATTAAGAAAAAATACGCCTGGGCAATGCAGCCAGCATATGAGATGGATTGATGGTGCGTCTGCATATTAAAAAGCATCTTTGGGGCTGTGACTGATGAGAAAGAGATGTCAGAGAAGGCCAAGTGGCTGAGGAAGAAGTACATGGGGGTGTGGAGGCGCGAGTCCAGCCTGATGAGCAGGATGATGAGCAGGTTCCCCAGCACCGTGGTCAGGTACATGCCCAGGAACAGGATGTAGAATAAGCCTTGTTTCTCTGGCCTGATGGGGAGTCCCAGAAGGAGGAACTCGGTGGCGCTGCTCTGATTACTCCTCTTCATACTCTTCTCTTTGACTAGAGATGAAAGAGAGAAAAAATGTCAACGAATGAGTAATCACTATGTCTGTTGCCTAGTGGAATCATGGTTTTGAGCTCGTTCATGAATTTTAACCTAATAGCTCATGTTCTTTGCCTCTCACGTGAGCAGCTGATAATCCGATATCAGGATATTATATTTCCACCTGGAAACCCATATAATCTCTTTTGGGGAAATCATGAAACAACAGAATGATGATTAGATCAGTTCAATCATGTTCAAGCCTGAGGAGTCCCAGGTTCCTGACAGAAACCGGAGATTATGAAATTAGGGTTCAATGTTAAGTCAGGAACCAGTTAATAGAAATATTGGTAGAGACCCCGTATTGGCCTGCTGATCTTCTTAAACTTCCCCATTCCGCTCAAGCAAGCTTTGGCCAATGCTCTGTTTCCATAGATTGACTCCAGATCAGACAAGTGTTTTGTGCTGGACTCAGTCTTCCAATAACCTGTGGCTGTCTCATCAGTATGTTAGCAGGCAGACTGAGGGCACCCCGGGATCCCCAAACCTTCCTGCTGTAAATGGATTCTGCCATCTGCCACATAATGACAAAACAGACTCTAGTGCCTAAGACCCTCAATGGAAAAGAACTTTAATACAATGAGTATGCAAGAGAGAAGAGAAGAAAAAGAATATCCTTAAAATAGTTTCCAGTTAAACACCCAAAGGTGTCTGTCCCCTCATGGGTAAGTGTCTAGCCAAATAGGGTTGGTCCAAAGCAGGACTGCTGAGGCCCAAAAGCTTGCCACAAGGCTAAGGCACTGTCTGGCGGTAATCACAGCAAAGGGGCGGAAGGGGACAGGCAAGTCTGGAAGAAAAGAGCAAAATCAAAACCCAAGTCAATATAAAGGCTGCCACTGTCAGCCTCCTCATGGTCTCTCACCCACATCTCTGTCTCTTTCAAGCACCTCCTTCCATGTCCCCCAAGTCCCTGGTACAAGTCCAAGGTACAAGGCTAAGGTACAAGTCCGAGAAGCAAGCATAGCTTGCTTGTTTCTTCACATGTCTCTCTGCTCCATGTGGTCCGTCCAAATCTTCTCTCTCATTTCTTCCTTTCTTCCCAAGTCCCTCCCCCAGTCCTTTTTAGCTTATACTCAGTGCTTAGTTCCACCCTTCTTAGGGTTGGGTGGGGAACCTGAAACATCCCCTTTCTGTGGATATCACACTGGTGCAATTCTTAGGGTTCCAAGAGGCCCTCAGCAATAACCATCAGGAAATTTCAAGAGATCAGGTTCATTTATTCCAGGACTGGGGAGCCACTGGTATACCTGGAGTTGCATAGTGAGATGGCTCATAGAAATGGAGAAGGTGGGGCACTTGGGTCTGGAGTTCTTTTGTTAGATAGAGTTGGGGTATGAAGATTTTCTGGACTCATTCTTTATTGGTGAATTGAAAACATTGGAGCTGTAATTTCTGGTACCATGTGAGAAGCAAGTGACCCAAATGGTCAGCTACTTTAATCAACTGAGATCTTAAAAGCAAGAAGTCCTGAGTAAATTGGAGTTCTGGATTTTATCTAGTCATGCCACTGGCAATGTCTTCATTTTAGATAGCTGTCTTTGAAGTGGATTCCTTTGCAATCAAAGTTTCAGTGAGGCATTTGCATTACAAAAAAAGAATACTAACTGATAGAGCTAATAGGGCCACAACCCAGTGGTCTGCTCTGATCTCTGAAATATAAGGCTGTGAGACTTGATGGAAATACTCCCTATGTTGATAGTCAAGTAAGGACACAAAGGCCAGAATCTATATCAATGATTTGAAAGGCACAGCAATATATCTTATAATATGCCCATCAGTCATCCTTTAAAGAAAAGCCTTCCTGCTTTTCAGTATTGTCAGCCTATCATCAATCTTTCTAAAGAAGTTGTCATAGATGGTGGGGGAAATTGTTTTCCTTCTAATTTTCTACCATATTCCCTAACTAAATTCTAAATAGATCACTCTTATTCAAGTGATGTCTTAGAATATCAGGAAGTATTTTGACTTTTGTAGTCTTGTCCTAATCTACCAGACAATAAGTTCTTTGTAAGTGCCTGGCTGGCATAGTTTATCAAATTGTACTTCCTTTTTCACAGTTACACTGAGGGCCAGTCTCGGTTTCCCTTAGCCAATGAAAGGAAACAGAGTTTGAGAAAAAGGAAAGTAGTTAAATTTGTCAGTAAATCGAGGAGGGCAGCAGACTCATATTGGAAGACCAGACTCATGTCTGGAAGACCACTATCCTGCACTTTGGCAGGAGCCTTTATGCATAGTTACAAGGGAGCAAAAGGGAGGAGTAAGCAAGGGTCAGCATGCCTCTCCTGGCCAACACAAAAGTCTGGTGATTTCAGATGATGCCTTCTTGCTTTCACTATCACCTGGTGGTCAGCAATTCAGATGTTATCGTCCTAGTGATGCTTTTTTCCCTTGGAATGTAAGAAAACAAAGTTTGTTAAGCCTAGAGGGTAAATAAAGGAAATGGGAGAGCTTATCTGGCAGATAAGAAAGAGAGACAAGTCCTTCATTTCTATTTCAGTAGCAGAGATGTAAGTAATTACAGATTTGGAAGAATAAACAATGTCTAGTTTAGAGGAATAACCAATGAGACTTAATGGAAACTGGAAGACAAGCAAAGGAGATGTTTTTCCTATTCTTCTAAAAATTAGGTTGAGAACCCATTCAAGATAGATTATTCAACATTGAGCTTGAGCTGTCAGTTACAGCCTGTATGTGGAGTGATATAGCAGTGCTTGCGATCAGTAACACTCACTGGACACACACACACACACACAGACATAGTAAACAAACACATGCCATCAATATGAACATGGACATAAATTCTACTGTTCTGGTGTTGCCTTTTAGGCGATGAGCACAAATACCTTCAGCTACGAGACAGGGTCACATTCTTCCATTTCCCTTTAGGGGACATAGAATACAGCAAGGCAGGTGGAGTCTCTAAAAGTCTCCAAGATGCATTGTCACAGGGAGAAATCCATTTGAAACCAAATAAGAGAGATATATGGACAAATACTTGGTTAAACTGAGCAGTGGGCAGGGGTTCAGAGTTTACAAATCCTGGAGAGGAGCGGGGAGGGGGAAGCTTCCCATCCCTAACTCCAAATTAGAGTCAAATGGGAAATAATGGCTTCATTGTCTTTGGTTCCCTTGAGAAAAGAACTTTTGTTGGTAGCAAAAATAGGAGAGTTAATCCTAAGAGGAATAATGATAACAAGCATAAGGCAGTTGCAGGGAACTTGGTGGTTCACAAAGCTTTTTCCCTTTTTCCTGTGTCACTTGACATTGGGGAAAATATGATTCAGTGTCCCTAATGGAGGTTCTCTGTAGGAACCTCAGTTTCTTGTTTCTGAATCCCATGCTATTTCAAGAACACCAGATAAATACCCTAATACTTTCATTCTCTGTAAAAATACAGTGAAACAACTTATGTCCTCAAACCACAACTGGACTTAGGGGAATGGAATACACTTTCTATAAATCTTAGTTTCCTGCCTAAAAGCTACGGAGTTAGCATCCCCTTGATATAGGCTTATCACACATAGAATAACCTCTCAAGATCTCCTTTCAACATTAAAGAAATTGTTATTTTTACCTAAGGGATATTGTAATATAATTATATGCCATAGAATAGTGAATTATAGCAATGAAACAAAAAGTCTTTGCAAAGCACAGTGGGTGACTCAAGGAAGTTGCAGGAAGATTGGAGCTTCAGGCTGGTGAGAACACACTAGTCCCATGGCACAGGTTGAGGTGCCACTAAGATCTTGTGACCTAGGTCAGGTACAGGACAGCTTGTTCCCTCATTTGTCAGACATTCTTGTTTCTGGTCTTACATTCAAGTATTTAATCCACTTTTAATTTTTGTGCAGGGTGTTTGATAGTGGTCTACTTTCATTCTTTTATATGTGGCTGACCAGTTTCCCCAACTTTATTTATTTAAGAGATTTTCTTTTTCTCCATTGTATATTCTTGCTTCCTTTGTCATCTGTGCATGGGTTCACTTTTTAGCTCTTAATTGTGTCCCATTTATCTAAGTGTCTGTACTTAAGGCAATGTCATGATGTTTTGCTTCCCGTAGTTTTATAGTATAGTTTGAGTTGGAGAGCATGATCAAAAATGTTTCATTTCTATACATTAACAACAAATTTGCTGAAAAAGAAATTAAGAAAGCAATCCCATTTATAAAAGCATTAAAAAAGAAATAAACACTTAAAACCCAGATGTCAAAGGAAATGAAGTTAGGAGTCATCAAAAGTTTATTATAGGAATGTCAGATTTTTGAAATGGGAAATTCAATTTATGTTAGTAGAATTTTCTATGATATATTTTCTTCCTCCTCCTTCCCTCGACCATGAGGAAGCCAAGGGGAGAAAGGCAAGATTCTCTTCAGGTGGTGGGACTGAAGGAATTTCCTTCCTTTTCCTGCCAGTTCACATTCTCGTTGCTTGCCCAACACAATCACTCTGCATGTTGCAGTAAGGCACCAGATATTCCAGGAATTATAAGGAAAATGTCAGAATCATTGAAGTTGATCTGGGTAAACAAACCTTGTATATATCAGCAAAGAGGTATATGGGAGAGGCCACATTCCCTGTGCTGTTATGTGCAGCCCAGATTCAATCTGATACTCAAAATGTCTGTCAAGGTAAAATAGTTTCCTTGTGCATTGAATGAGTTATTGCTAACACATTCAGATTAATTTATTTGACTTAAATAACTTAGCCCTGTTAGCAAGTATTTCCAGGGCACATTTCATGTCCCTGTTTCTCAGGCTGTAAATGAAGGGGTTCAGCATGGGAGTGACTACCATATACATCACAGAGGCAATTATGATTTCATCACTGGAGGTGGATGATGAAGAGAAAAAGTAAATTTCTGCAATGGTCCCATAGTATAAAGACACAACGAGGAGGTGGGAGCCACAGGTAGAAAGGACTTTGAGCAATTTCTTAGCAGAGGGCTTTCTAAGGACAGTGGGCCAAATACGGATATAGGAGCCCAAGATGCCACTCAAAGGCAGTATGAAGAGGATGCCCCCTTCAATGAAGATGACCATCTCATTGAGGGAGATGTCTGAGCAGCTCAAATTCAGGAGTGCAGAGATTTCACAGAAGAAGTGGTGTATGGTATTGTCAGCACAGAAGGACAGTCGGGCCAAGAGCAGTGTATACAACAGAGAGTGGAGACTGCATAAGAAAAAAGACCCAGCTACTAAGGAGACACACAGCTGCTGCCTCATGATGGTGGTGTAGTGGAGGGGCTGACAGATGGCCACGTACCTGTCATAGGCCATCACTGCAAGAAGGAAATTGTCAAGACAACCAAACAATATGAAAAAATACATCTGGGAGATGCACCCTTCATATGGGATGGACTTGTGATTAGTCTGCATGTTCATCAACATTTTTGGGACAGTGACAGATGAGAGACACACATCATTGAGGGCCAAGTGGCTGAGGAAGAAGTACATGGGGGTGTGGAGGCGCGAGTCCAGCCTGATGAGCAGGATGATGAGCAGGTTCCCCAGCACCGTGGTCAGGTACATGCCCAGGAACAGGGCGAAGAACAGGCCCCGCTGCTCTGGACGGATGGGGAGCCCCAGGAGGAGGAACTCGGACACGCTGCTCTGGTTCTCCCACCTCATGTCACTCACGTCTCTGTTGAAAGTGAAGAAAACCTGGAATTAACCACAACATCATAGCAGTGTCCTTTTCCATTGATGGTATTAATCTTTAACTAGATTTTTGTTGATTGCTCACACCTGTGATGCATGAATCACAGTCCGTCATAGCTGGTCTCAAGTGGTACATGACACCCTCACAATATCCTACAAGGTTTCCTTCCTTGGAACCAGAGGGCATTTCTTCAACCGCCTCATCTAAGCTACCACACAAAGCACTGAGTGCATTATAGAAAACAGGAAATGCAGTCTCTATGTTTAAGGAGTTTACATCTTTATATAATACCAGCTCAGTTGTCAATAATGGGCATGCCATAGAAAATCTAAGATGGGCTGCAGGAGACACGCAGCCCTAATGTGCTCTTAAAATGTTGAAAAACTCTCTAAATTGGCATAGAATAGGTAATATTTTGGTGTGGGCTTATAGCAAAATTGGCAGAATCCTTACTGATCAGAGAAATTTAATATTACTGGATACCTAAAGTCATTCCAAGTTCTCAAATACAGGTTAATAATAATGGGGAAAGTTATCATTAATATATAATGTTACAGGAAGAATGTCAAAGGATTTACATATACTTTGCATTTAAATCTTCACCATAGTTCTAATTAACCAGTTTCATGCCTATTTTTACTGTGAGGACAACATTTTGTAAAGGTGAGAAGTTCTGCCACACAAAAGTAAAAGTGAAATGACAGTGTATATCTAACTAGAATCTATCAGTCTTCATGGATGTCTCATTACTAGACAGATATCTGGATTATCAAACAGACATGTTATTGACCTCATTTGGTAACTCCTCAACGTTCAAAAATTATCAATCATTTATACATCATACAACTTTAAAAAAGCTTTAACACAACATTAATTTCAAAAAATATGTATCTGGAGTTGCATGGTACGTTAGGAAACACTATTCCCTTCATTTCATAAATGTGGTATAACTTGGGAAAAATATGTAATGACCAATGAGGTTGCTCAGTTCTCTGATGGTGGATTCCAGATTCACCCTTCCTTTGGCAGTGAGGTTAGAGGTTAGAATTATACGCATACACAGGCACACTAAAGAGGGTTTCTCACTGACACTCTCAAGTAGTGTAGCCAGACAGCAAGACCTCCTCAGGGAACATGAACTTGCTGAGGCATATGCTTATCTTGGTTCATTGCTACCAAGAGGGCAGTATCTGGACTCCCATGTGGAGGTCTGGCTGCCCACTGATGTGGGCTGTGTCAGCCTCACTGAGAAACAGAGGAAACAAGCAGGAACCAGCTGGACCAACTAGGATCTTGATTGGGGCAGGGCTTGTGAGGAAGGGTCTGGGTCCCAGCCCTGGATGGATCAGGCAATGTGCACCAAATATCTTCTTGCATGTCTACATGTGCTGCCTTGGAAAGTGATGAAGGAGAAACCTTCATGACACAAACTTTGGTTTCTGGAAATACGATAAGAACCCTCTTTACTGAGCACCAGTCATGAGCCAAGTGTCGTGCTGAACAGTCTGTGTACATTCCCTCGTTTAGTCCTCAAAACAGGGCCCTGTGTGGAAGTCATTACCTTTTGTAGGGTAAGTGAAAAATTAATAGGCTTTTCTGCCCTCCCGCCATTAGCTTTAATGATGGATCCATGTGGTCTGACATGCATGCCTGATAGCGGACACTTGGAGTAGGGTGTGGGCATGCATAGGGGGGCACACCTGGGCTGAGACGGGGCTTAAAAGGGCAGTGTCATGGGGACACCAGCAGAGAACGAGAAAGAGCAGCAGAACGAGAAGAAGAAAACCCCAGAACGAGAGCAGAACCAGCATAGCAGCAAAGGAGAAGCAAAGACCACATAGAATGCCAGAGAGCCCAGAAGGGGTAAATACTTGCCGGGGGCTGGAGGACTCTGCTTTACCCATCTGCCTAGATCATAGAGATCCTGCACTGTGCCTTCCTGCTGCTACGCCCCTCCTTTCCCAGGGAGGGAGCTGAATGTGAAAGCAAACATGTAAGGGCCAGATGAGGACTGTGCCCCAGTGTTCCTGCTGCAGGCACTGAGGCCCCATCCATTAGTACATGATACCTGCCTAGAGGTGGAGACCTAAGTTACCTTCCCTCAATGCAAATCATGACCACTGTGAGTGGCCACTGAGTTGTCAGTGGTGAGTCACTTGGGGCCCCACGCAGTGCCAGGAACCCCACAAAACACCACCTGTATATAAACATTAACACACACCCAAACACACAAAAAACCTTAGTATGACATGCGTATACAATCATAAAATACAAGATCACACCTAACACTTGACTGTAACAATTTTAAGTCCTCTCTCCCCTGCTGCTCATGGATAAATTCAGGAACCCTGCTCTTTACTTACCTGTGATGAGATGAGTAACCAGAGGTGAACATGTAGGAGTTATGGAGGAGGGAGGGCGGATGTTTGAGATCAAAGGACTGGTTCAGAGACTGCAGATCACACTCAGCCGTGGTCCCCACTTGCTTTATAAGGGCCCAGCTGGTGTGTGAGCTCAGGTTGTGTCATATATCTCTCTCCAACTCTGCCTATCTTATATCTATTTCCCTTTCTCCCTCTCTCCCTTTATCATACTCTTTTCTCTTCTCTTTACTTCTGTCTTCTCTCTCCTCTTCTATCCTCTCAAACAAAACAAAACAAAACAAAACAAAACAAAACAAAACAACAGAGCATTCACACACACAGGAACATTCATCCACCCCCATCATGGAGAGTCCTACCTGGAGGACACATGTGACCTCTGAGCACAGAGAAACACTGTGCTCACCTAAAATCCCTGCCCACTTCACCCTGTGTCATTCCCTGTTACACCAGCCACCTGCTAATCAGTGTCTGAGTCCACACCTGCTCTTGGAAAAACCAGCAACACATAATAAGAGATCCTCTGTGAGTCCACTGCCCCTTGAGCTTGCTGTGTCTGCCCCTGATGCCAGAGAACAGCTAGGAAGACACCACTTTATAAACAACTGAGAGAACAAGGACAAGATCCCTGAGCTCCTGGTTAAGGAAAGACAGTTGTCTCCAGTTAATTGTCTCCAGTTCTTGGCAGATCTTGGAGAGAAAGCTGCATAGAGACTGGAGGGACTGAGCTGGTAAAGTCACCTGAGAGGGTGTCCCAGGTATCAGGGGACCCTGGGCTCCTCTCTGCCTGTAGTTCCAACCAGGTAGCAGCTGTCATGATGTCCTCCAACTCCAATGTTCCCAATCCTCTGGGCTTTGCAGTCACCCTTGATGACCCTACATAATCAAAGTAACTTCTCTCAGCCTTGTGTTACCTAATGGTATAAATATTCACGTAAGGCTGTATGATCATTCATGCTAAAGCATCAAGTGCACCTTAAATGCCAACTCCTACTGTCATTATCTTTGCATATTCCAGCAAAGATGAACTTATCTATAATCTTGAGTAAATATATTGTTGTTATAGTATTGATGGTTTTTGAATGACTCAATTATTAATACATTTTCAAATTTCAGTTTTTCAAGACCTGCTTCTCCATGAGAAAGACCTAAGCTCCCCCCACAGACCAATACAACCCTGTGATACACAGTTCAGTACATCAGCCAGCACATGTGCCCCCAGGTAAACATGTAAAGGGACACCCCAGGCTTCTGTGCAACTCTGGACTCTTAAGAAAGTGGCCATTAGTGCAGGACCCTTCTCAAGGTTCTCCCCTACACAGCTTGCTCACATCAGTCCACGCCCCTCTTTTTTGTTAAGCATATAATGTTCCCTACAACTGGGGACACATTGCTTTCCTATGTGCCCAAGTCATGGCACCTCTTGGAGGGAGGCGGTGCCACTTAACCCTCCCCTCCCCACCTGACCCAAGGCCGGCATAGGGCTGCACACACAGGGGGCTCCCTGGGCCTCAGACTCTGAAATGCAGCTTCTCTGGTTGAAACAGAAGGACGCCTGCCATGTCTAAGACAAGTGTCCAGTCTACACGTAGTTATCGTTTTCCATCTTTTAACTCTTGGGTCAGGGACAGAGAGCTCATAGAGACCAGGGATTTTCCTTATTTCAAGTTTCTGTCCTACTTATTTTACACAGAACCAGGCTGATTAATTAGTCAATTCTACAAAAGATCAGTGAGTATATTAAAAGTATGTAATCAAGTTGAACAAAATAATCACAATATAATTCTGTCAATTGCCAAAAATCATAATTACTACTATTTGTTCATTGATGTGTTTGGTAAATATGTTTCTGCTTTTCCTAAAGTAGAAAAGGAACAGTGTGAAAGTCAGTCTAGGTAAACAAAACTGGTAGGTATCGCAGAGAGAATCATGGAAAAGGCCAACTTTCCTGTGCTCTACATGCAGCCCAGCTCAGTGGGACATTCAGAATATTGATCAAGCTATAATAATTTCCTTGTTCATTTGACTGTGTTATTATTACCACATTCAGATAGAGTGTTTTGAAATAAGGAACTAGCCCGATTAACAAGTGTTTCCAGGGCACGTTTCATGTCTGTTTCTCAGGCTGTAGATGAAGGGGTTCAGCATGGGGGTGACGATTATATACATCACAGACGCAATTATTTTTTTTATTATTGGGCGTTGACGATGAGGAGAAAAAGTAAACTTCTCCAGTGGTCCCATAGTATAAAGACACAACGAGGAGGTGGGAGCCACAGGTAGAAAGGACTTTGAGGAATTTCTTAGCAGAGGGGTCTCTCAGGACAGTGGTCCAAATGCGGATATAGGAGCTCAAGATGCCACTCAAAGGCAGGAGGATGAGAATTCCTCCCTCAATGAAGATGGCCAACTCATTGAGGGAGATATCTGAGCAGCTCAAATTCAGGAGTGTAGTGAGGTCACAGAAGAAGTGGGGGATGACATTGTTACCACAGAAGGATAGTTGGGCCAAGAGTAGGGTGTACAAGAGAGAGTGGAGGGAGCAGAGGAACCAGGACCCAGCTACTAGGGAGACACACAGCTCCTGCCTCATGATGGTGGTGTAGTGGAGGGGCTGACAGATGGGCATATACCTGTCATAGGCCATCACTGCAAGAAGGAAATTGTCAAGGCAAGCAAACAAGAAGAAAAAATATGCCTGGGAAATGCAGCCTGCATAGAGGATGGACTTGTGATTAGTCTGTATATTCCACAGCATCTTAGGGACAGTGACAGATGAGAAGGAGACATCAGTGAAGGCCAAGTGGCTGAGAAAGAAGTACATGGGGGTGTGGAGGCGCGAGTCCAGCCTGATGAGCAGGATGATGTGCAGGTTCCCCAGCACCGTGGTCAGGTACATGCCCAGGAACAGGGCGAAGAACAGGCCCCGCTGTTCTGGAAGGATGTGGAGCCCCAGGAGGAGGAACTCGGACATGCTGCTCTGGTTCTCCTACCTCATGTTGCTCATGTGTCTGCTGGTAATGAAGGACATGGAATGAGGGAAGACTGGAAGTAGCCACAAGATTACGGTGATGTCTTATTACATAAGGCGTTAAAATTTTTAGCTAGTCCTCTGATTATTGCTCACACCAGTTGATGCTTGAAAACCAGTCCATGACAGCAGGCTCTGATGGTACATGACACCCTCACAAAATAACAAGATTTCCTTCTTGGAGGCAGAGGGTATTTTTCTTTATCATATAAATATGTATTAGACTATGCCCTACTTCCAGCCATACACAAAGTACTCAGTGCATTGTAGTAAACAGGAAAATTCTACATTTAAGGAATTTGCATCTTTAGATCATGCCAGGTCAAATGCCAATAACTGGCATGAATGGCAGCATCAAGGGAGAGGCATCCCTAGGCAAACAGGACATTTCCTCTTAAAAAGGTGAGAATCCCTCTAAGTGGAATAGAGTAGCTTATGATTTGTTTCAGGCTTATGGTAAAATTGCCAGCATCCTTACTAATCAAAGACAGTTAATATTCCTGGGCACACAAGATCAACCCTTGTTGACTTTAATAATAATGTGAAATATTTGTAATTAACACATAAGAGGTGGCAGTATGCCAAAATGTTTACATACAGGTTGTATTTAAATTTCACCATTGCCCTAATTAGCCAGTCTCATCACACCCATTTTAACCTTGAGGAACAAAAGATACCTTTCCTGGTGTGCAAAGGAGCATCACTAATAAGTAAAACTGGTGAAATGACAATGTGTATCTCACCAGAATTTGTCACTCAGCAAAGATGTCCCAGCCCTCATTAGACAAGCTGTGTGACCTCGTTTATCAGTTGTGGGAGCTTGGATTATTGTGTTTCTCAATTATTTGGTGTGTTTGCCCTGATTATTCTTTCCTTTTTTCCTTTTGTGCCTCTCAGTGTGTAGAAGCAGGGAAAGTTGATCAGGAGCCTCTCAGGGCAAAAGTCCTGGTGTGAGAATCTATACCTGCTGAAAACAGCATGTGCAGAAATGGCAATAGGTGTTCTGGTCAGAGCAGCACAAACACTGTGATTTTCCTTCACTTTCCCTATTTCACAACTTCTGCTGGTTACATATCCTCCACACACTTAGGCATTCTGTATTTTCCTGCTTACTTCTTTGATCTTTTTTGCTTTCTGATTCTAAATAGAAACGAGACAGCCCTCGGAGCTGGGCTGCACTTTCTTGGTGTAGTCCCTCTAGGCTCTCACTGTTCTGCACGTGGGCTCTGAGTAATCCATTTTCATCCCGCTGCACATGTCCTGACGAGACAGTCCCTCATTAGTCCAAGAGTTTTCAGCCATATTGATGCGTAATAAAAAGGACTTTCACACAATTTAAATTGGCAAAAGTAGATACACTCTGGACACTGCGTATTCATTAGGAAAATGCTAATCCCTTCATTCCATAAATATTATAAAGCTCAGGACAAACATACACTGACCAGTGAGGTCACTGGGTCCTCTTATGGTGATGTCAGGATTCCCTTCCTTAGGCAGTGAGGTTAGGGGTTAGGATTACACACACACACACACACACACACACACACACACACACGCGCACACACATTCACACAGGCATGCACTCAGAAGAAGGTTCCTGACTCACTCAAGTAGCAGAGCAGGAGAGCAAGGCCTCCTCAGGGACCGTGAACTTGCTGCGGGCTTATCTTGGTTCATGGCCACCGAGAGGACAGTGTCTGGACCTCCATGTGGAGGTCTGGCTGCCCACTGACATGTGTTGTGTCAGCCTCACTGATAAACAGGGAAAACAAACAGGAACCAACTGACTAACTGGAATCTTGATTCGGTGGAGGTGTGGGGATGATTTGTGAGGAAGGCGTTGGGTCTGGAGTCCTGGAAGGATCAGGCACGTGTTCTCCAGGTTGTGTGGGGTGTGCAGAGACTGCTTTTCTAAGCTTTCTCCTAATCTTGCACAGACAGCAGTGAGGTAGGATCTTTACCACTGACACTGGCTTCAGAAGGATAATAAGAATCCTCTTTACTGAGCACCACCATGAACCAGGCCTGGTGCTGCATAGTATATGATCATTGCTTCATTTAGTCCTTAAAACAGCACTATATGTGGAGGTAGTTACCCCTCCTTTCCCAGGGAGGGATCTGAATGTCAGAGAGCAAACATAGGGGCCAGATGAGGACTGGACTCCAGGGGACCTGATGCAGACATGGAGGTCCCATCCATTAGTATGAGACATCTGCCCAGTGGGGGTGACCCAAGTGACCCATCCTCTCAATGCACAGGATGACCACTGTGGATGGCCACTAAGGTGCGAGTAGTGAGAGAGATATGTGGGCTCCTTGCAGTGGCAAGAACTCCACCCCCCAAACACCACCTATATATAAACAGCAACACACACACTAAACCTTGGAGTGACGTGCACATGTAATCATAAGGAAAATACAGGATCACACCTGACGCTGACTCCGTAACAGTTTCAGATCCTTCCTCCCTTGCTGCTTGGATAAAAGCAGGAACCTCCTGCACCAGAGCAGGGGGTGCATCTTCTACTCTGTCCTGTGCAATCTCTTTACTTACCTGTGCTGAGTAACCAGAGGTGAACGTGGGGAGTGATGGAGGAGAGAGGGCAGATGTTTGAGATCATAGGCCTGACGAAGACACTGCAGGTCACACTCAGCAGTGGTCCCCACTTGCATAATGGGGGATGAGTTGGTGCTTGAGTGTGGGCCAAAGAGAGGAAAAGAGTCAGGATGTGACATTTATCTCCAACTCTTCCTGTCTTCTATTTCCCTTTCCACCACTCCACCTTTGTCTTACTGTTCCTCATCTCTTCTGTTTTCTCTCTTCTCTTCTACCCCTCGCTCATCAGAGACACAGCAGTCACAGACAAACATTCACCCTCCTCCATCACACACGGACATACAAGGAGGGCACATGCTGACCTCTGAGCATTGAGACACACTCCGCTCACCTAGAATCAACTGCCCATCCAGGCTGTGTCACTCCTTGTTAGATCAGGCACCCATTCATTGTCTGAGTCCTCAGCTGCTGTTGGGAAGACCAGCAACAAAGAATGAGAAGACATCCTCTGTGAGTCCATCACCTCCTGAGCTTCTTTGTTTGTCCCAGATGCCAGCAAACAGCCAGGAGGACACCACTTTATAAACCACTGAGAGGATATGGTCAAGGTCCCTGAGCTCCTGGGTAAGGAAAGACAGTCATTTAAATGTCTCCAGTCCTACCAAACCTTGGGGAGGAGCCTGCATAGAGGCAGGAGGGACTGAACTGGTAGAGTCACCTGAGAGTGTGTCCCAGGTATCAGGGGCCACTGAGCTACTCGTAGGCTCACCTGAGGAGCCGGATGACCTAGTCACCCTCCAGCACTGATGTAGCCAGTCCCTGGTCAGATACCACTGGGTATGGGATGTACAACTAATTCTGATGACCCTAAATTAGTAAAATAACTATGTACTCTTCCTTCATTAAATATCTTTGATTAAATCACCCGTCAAGTTCTGTGCCATAATTTTTCTTGGTAAGGAAATTTTAGTGAAAAATTAAATATCTTCAATAAGCACAATTATTCAAGTTAACTGCATCTCATTTTTTTTCTTTTTTTCTTTTAATTGAAACAAATTAAACTGTAAGTACTTAAAATGAATGTTTGTTCAGTTTTGACATACACATTCATTCCTGAAAATAGCATACTAAAATAGATCTGTCACCTCTGATGATGCCCCTGTCTACTTTGTGACCCTTCCTCCCTCAGTTCCCTTTTTCACCTGACTTGCTGTAACCAGACACCCCCTGAAATGCTTATTTTCTCTATAGTTTCTTCTAGAAGTTTACATAAAGGGAATCAAATAACTATGTGCTATCTTTTAGTGATGATTTTCATTAGCATATTATTTTAAGATTCATTACAGTTGATAGATTTGTAATTTATTATTTTTATTGCTGAATAATATTTCTTGTGCATCAAATGTTGGTTAGCACTGGGTTATTTCCTGTTTGGGTCTACTAACATTAAGCTGAACATTAATAAACCAGTTTTGAATGGACATAGACTATCATTTCTAATGGCTATTTACATAAGAGTGAGTGGCAGGATCAAAAGTAAGTACGTGGTCAGCACTTTAAGAAACTGTTTTCTTTCCAAGTTATTGTACCATATTTCACTTTTACAAACAGTGTATGAGGGTTTGAATTACTCCACAGACCCTTATATTGGTTGGATATTTTATCTTTAGAATTCTGGTAGATCTGGTCAACTTTTGTTATGACCATTTTTGTGAACTTAACCTTCCACTGGGGGTGCAGTGATAATTTGGAGACTTTAATTTGCATTTACTTGATCACTCAGAATGTTCTGCATCTAATCATGTCTGTACTTTTATCTGGTGAAGTAGTTAAAATATTTTGCCCAATTTTTAAATTTGGATTTTTTTTGGCACATTATCGAGACTTTGAAAATATTTTACATATTTTGATTTCCATTCTTTATCAGATATAATTTTTAGAAGTATTTTCTCCCCATGTGTTTTATGTCTTATTCTTTTAAATGTATTATTAAAAAAAATCATGCTGTCCGATTTTCTGTACCTCAGTGCTTATGCTTTTATAAGAAACCTTTGCTTAACTCAAGACTTCAGGATTTTATCCCGTATGTTCTTCTAAAAATTTAGGATTTTTAAGACTCTTTACTATTTGTACATTTTATATTCAGGGCAATATTTGGCTGGAAGTTTATTTTGGTGACTATGGGTATTTAGTTCCTCAATATCCTTTGCAGAAAGACTGTATTTTTCCCCAGTGATTGCCCTCGCTCTTATATGAAGTATCAAGGTCTACACAGTGTGGATCTATTTAGGGGCTCTGTTCTGTTCCATTGATTTATTTTTTGATCTTTATTCTAACATGAGTTTGGCTTGATAACATAGTTCTATGATCAACACACACATTAGGGAAAGATTCATCTAGTACTCTTGTC